GACCCTCTAGCCAATTCACCACCCACCGGACTGTGTAGTCATCCCAGTCACAGCCTCTTAACTTGTTCACCAGTATGGGGTGGGATACCGTATCGAAGGCCTTCCTGAAGTCTAAGTATACGACATCCACCCCTCCTCCTGTGTCCAGGCGTTTCGTAACCTGGTCATAAAAAGAGACTAGATTAGTCAGGCACGATCTGCTTGCCACGGACCTGTGCTGGTTTCCCCACAGCATAATTTGTCCTGCCGGGCTCTCGCAAATGTGAGCCTTGATAATTTTTTCAAAGACTTTGCCAAGGATGGAGGTGAGACTGACTGGCCTATAGTTGCCCAGGTCCTCCTTCCTCCCCTTCTTGAAAATGGGAACCACATTGGCCCTTTTCCAGTCGTCTGGGACTTGGCCCATGTGCCACGAGCGTTCAAATATTCCCGCCAGTGGCTTTGCAATGATGTCGGCCAGTGCCTTCAGCACCCTCGGATGGAGCTCATCCGGGCCTGCCGACTTAAAGGCATCCAGTTCTTCCAAGTGACTCTGTACCATCTCAGGGTCTACGCATGGAAGCCTGGCACCTTGCTGCTGCCTCTCTACACCCCCAGTGAGAGACTTGTCGCGCCCCTCGCTTAGGAACACTGAGACAAAGAACTCGTTGAGGAGTTCAGCCTTGTCCCCCCTGTCCGTCACCAATTGTTTCTGCCCATTTAGCAGGGGTCCTATTCCTCCCTGGGCCTTCCTTGTACTCCCTGTATATCTAAAAAACAATTTCTTGTTGTCCTTTACTTGGGATGCTATCCTCAGCTCCATGGTAGCTTTGGCTCGTCTAACTGCCTCCCTACAAGCACGAGCAGAGGAGGTATATTCGTCTTTGGTGATCTCTCCCTGTTTCCACTTTTTATGTGCTCCCCTTTTGGCCCTTAGGCTGCCTTGGATTTCTCTGGTCAGCCAGGGAAGCCTCCTGGCCCCTTTCCCTCTTTTACCCCGCCCGGGGCTCGTCTCGCTTTGTGACCGAAGGATCATTTCCTTAAGGCACAGCCACCCTTCTTGGGCTCCCATCACTTCAAAATCTGGGCATAAATGACTGCATGATGCAGTGGAGAATTGGAGCTTATGCCTTAGATCCTTAATTGTGTGCACACATGAATAACGTGCATTGAGGTCAACTATACTGTTCATGTGCATCGAGCTGCTCATGTGCGTAAGTCTTTGTAAGATTAGGGCCTCTGGGCCAAAGACTTGAAAAGTCACTAGCGATTTGGGGCACCTCTGTTTTTGGCTCTTCAACTTAGGGCACCATAAAGAGACCAGATCTTCTGTGGAAGTATGCCCAGCACTTTCTGGGAATTGGGGGCCCCCCTTGAGTGTCTGAATTTGGGCAATCAGCATCAAGTACATGTATGTATAATGGGGACTGTAATGCTTTGAGATAGTCCAGATATTATTGAGGGAAAAGTCTCTCAGATGGCCCTTCTTCCTGCCAAAAATTATCGGCCCTCTTATTTTCAGCCAAGTAGTCTAATTTGGGAATAACAATTCTCTATCATTGACTCGAATGTCAAAAGAAAATTAAAACCATGTAAATACAGCTCAAACCACTTAATGTTTAAATTGAAGATTGCCTTTGCAGCTTTGCTTTTTGAAGAAGGTTGTTTTAAATGTTTAATACACAAAATCTTTAAGTGTGTTCTCTTTTCCTAAGTGCTGGCTTCTTGGTTTTGTATTTGTATTTCTGTGCCTTTGAATGCCGACAGAAGTATTTAGAATTTCACGTAAAACTACCCTAAAATAGCATTACTTACATTGCAAAGTCAAGCACTTGAAAAGTAGTAGGTGCCAGACTCAAAGTTGCCTGTGTCATCTTAACTCATCCCCTTGTCCACGTGCATTATAATACAGTCTTTAATTACATGGTTATTTTTTTCCACGAGTCCCTTGCCTCTTCTACTAATGATCAACGGTTTGACATTTTGTCTTCTAATACCAAACCATTCAATATACAGGTCTACTGCTTATTTAACACATACAAATCAAACCCTTCTTGGAACACAGTTTCCTGACAGGCTTTTCTAAGGTTGTGTTCACTGCAATCTGACTGCTTCACAAATATGAATGGATTTATCATCTCAATCATGTGTGTAGTGAGGAGTATGTATTTTTTATTCCCGGTTTTACAGATGGTGAACTGAGGCTTGGTGAAATAAAGTTCAGAACTATTTTGGTTGCCTGATTTTAGGTTCTTAAGACCTAATTTTCTAGATTTAGCATTCTAAGGAATTTCATAGGCTCAGAGCCAGAGACTGCCATTGATCTCCATTACAGCATGACATGCTCAGCACTTCTGCAAATCCGATCCAAGGGCACCCAGAAAAATAAGGAGCATGTTAGATAATGACAACTTGCGAAAGGTTTGGGTTGCATAACTTGCCCGGCATCACAGAGAAATTCTATGGCAGAGGCAGGGACAAAATCCAGTTCTTCAGGGCAGCACGTGACTGTGGCAAATGCAGTCCTAGGACGTACCTGGTGGTATATTTCAGCAGAGATAGGGAAGTATTGATGGCATTGTGCAAGGCCTAAGAACACCTCATGTGGAATACAGTGTAGAATTCTAGTGACTTGCATTCAAAATAATTATTAATAATTAATTCAATAAATTAAAACTGCATCAGGTGCAGAGAAGGGTTACTAGGATAATGAGGAGGACCTTGTGGCACTCTTTAGATGCAGACAGTAAACTTTAGGGTGAAAGAAATGCTATTTAAGTCAAGGGACAGTGCTGGCACAAAAAATAAGCTGGTTGCAGATAAACTGAAGATGGAAATCAGAAGAAGGTTTCTAAGCATTGAAATGGTGAGGTTCTGGAGCAGCCTTCCAAAAAGAAGTGGGGACAAGAGCCTAGATAATTTTAAACTGGAGCTCGAGGACCTACGAGTCCATACTTGTTCTTTGTTGCAAGCTGTCTTTACCTAGAGATTATCCTGTCTTCTCTTGTACACTTATGCCCCGTTTATTCTGTGACTTCTTGGAAACAATAGCCTCCTTCACTGTGCAATTGTGGTTCTTCTCTACAGCAAATCGGTCTTGGGAGGGAAGTGGTGGTGAGAAATAACTTGTAACTATATAAGAAAAGACTTTGTCACAAGACAAACCCACAAAAGGACTACACTGAGGTCACTCGGACAGTTAATTCTGTCATTTTCTTTTCTTCGAGCACTTGACTTTGCAATCATAGAAATTATTATTTATTTGTGTGGAATTTGCTTATGTAGAAAAACTATTGCATAAGCCTCTGCCACGTGAAGTAATGGAAGGGCTGATTACAGTAGTAGGTTGTTATCTTCTATATGGAACAGCATGAGAAGGGGTTTAGATGCTTTGCCAGTGAATTTCACAGGCAGTTACTGACCGCAGAGGAATGGTAAGATTCGGGATTTTAGATTCTATTCCAAGATCAGGGGAGTGGAGGGTACAATGTGCACTCCAGTAGGCACAGACTGTTCTGTGCATTTTCCCCAAACTTGAACTTGTTTGCTCTGTCAACTCTAACTTGTCTCTTTGTAGCCCCTTGGCCCATCTTGCCAGTCTCCATCTCTTTTCTTTAGGCTCCTCATATCAGTCCGAGTCTCCTTGCCCAGCCAACCTTGATTAACATCACTGAACTCCTTGTTTGATCTCTTGCAGATGGGGAAGTTGAGGGAGGTGGAGGAGAGGTGATTTGCCCTGGTATCTCAGCAGGCCATTAGCTGAATCGGGTACAGGATGCAGGTGTCCTGGGTTCCCCAGGGCAGTGCCCTATCCACTAGCCAACACTGCCTTGCAAAGCAATCCCAGTAGAATATTATGTTTTACAGGGGGCTAGATTAGATGCATTGAGATTAAGACCCTGGTTCTGCAAAGCACATACATAATCTCAAAGTTATATACTTTGTAGAATCAGGACCTTAGAATTGCCTCATCTCATCTAGTCTTCTGTAAAATAAGGGCCACACGTGGGTAGAGTCAAAGGGAGTCACTGGAAATTGAATCCAGGAGTCATGAATACCAGTCCCAAGCCTTGGTTACAAGCCCATCCACCTCTTACATGATGTATGTGAATTTGGTGGTTGTTGCCAGTCTCTTGTGGATTCAGTGATTTCTTTCTCTCTCATACATGGGTACCTCACATGGGGCTCTGTGTGTTTATGTGTATGTGTGTGCTTGTATGTGCGCACCTGGAAGTTGCCATCAAACTCCTCCTTGCTTGTGCTCCTTTCTCACCATGCAGCAATCCCTTCATTGGAGGCAGAGCCCCTGAAGACGTGCTTTGTGGGAGGTAATGTGACCCTCACATGCCGAGTGACAGAGAGCAACCCTCCAGCAAAAATCACTTGGCTCCGGAGCAGTGGCCATTCAGAAGCAGAGATCCAGCCTGGCAAGAGACATCACATCATGCAGGAGGGCAGCGTTTCCAGTCTCACCATCCAGAACTGCTCCCACAGTGATGATGAAGGCTATTACCTCTGCAAGGCACAAAACCCTGTGGGGCTGAGGGAAGTGTATGTCTGCCTCACTGTAAAGAGTGAGTTCTGGACGCTGAGCAGTGTGTTGTCTGGGGGAGCTGAATGGGATGAGAGGAGGAGGAGGAGGGGGGCACACCCAAACCAGAAGCAATGAGGACAATTCTGCTGTACCAACTTGCACTCATCTTCTAGTGTCCAGAGAAACTGCTGTCTCCCCCCTTGCTAATTGGACCCAGAATCCTAGTCAGGGTCACATCACTGCCTCCTTTTTAATTTGTACTCACTCTTGGGCACTCCCTGGTTACTCCTGCATGTTGGAACATTTCCAACTGCATGGGGACAAGGGGCATTGCCTGACCAAGTGGTGATCTTGAGGAATGGGTCCTGCTATTTCCAAAGGTAGCAACTAGCACAGCACTAAAGCCTCATAGGTCTCTCCATCTCTTCCTACTGTCCCATAAGGTCTGTATGGGGCAGGGAAAAGCCCATTTTGGATGGATTGAAACACTGGTTGAGCTGTGTGTCTTCCCTCGAAGGGATAGATCAGTCTGAGTGTGAAATAGGTAGGAGTTCTGCACAAATTGCCTTTTTTGTTCTCTGAAACAAACTCTTTAGTGATGGCTTTGGTCTGAAGGATGTAAACCCTGGCTCAGGGGAGCTCCACAAGCCTGATGCACCAGGATCAGGGAGCTGAGAGGTTTAGACACCTGGGGGAGGAGCCAATGTTATACAGCCCTGAGATGGGGGTGCAGCAAGCACTGGTATAGTGAGTAGACAGCAGGAGGTGAAGGGAAAAGGAGCAGCTGGGAATGCCCAGGCAGTTCTGTCACATGCACAACCCCTGTCATAGCCTCGCTGAGGGAAGCTGTGTATACATTTAATGCAATGGCTAGCTAGATGACTGGACAGCCTTTTTGTGAGGTCTGAAGCATGTAGTATTGAACACAGGTGGTCACACCACGGTGAGGAGCAGTTACAAGTAGTATTCATCTGAACAAAGTGCCCCTCCTGTCAAACAGGCTGTCCTGGTTACAGGTTAGTAGTTAGCATTGATTTGCCATTGTGACTGAGTAGGTCACCTCTGTCTAGAAAGTGCCAACCCCCAGGCTCACCAAGTTACTGCCTCTTTTTCTCACAGAGCCAGTGAATATAGTTGGAGTGGTGGGAATGATCGTGGTCCTCTTACTGCTGGGAATTCTGGTCATCTCGGGAATTATTTTGTACTACAATCCGCTCCTGTGTCTGAAAGGTAAGAGCAGCCATCACCTCTGACTCGAGCTCCTCCTTCTCTGAGGCACATGGGTTAGAGCTCTGCCTCTTCATACCTCACCTGAGAGTGTCCTTCAGTGGCCCCCCGCCATCACCTACCCAGCCAGAGATTGATAGGTGCCCCTTCTCTCGTTCCTTATGGAGTGCTGTCAGCTTAAGGGGAGTAAGCACTGAGAGCACAGGATGCCTGCAGAGCTGGCCGCCTGCAGACTATGCAAATGTCTCCCCACAGATAGAGACTGTATCCTGTGCTAAAGCTCCCTTGCCTTGCCCTGCAAAACCATATCTGACATGCTTGAATCTTGGCAGACCACAGTTGCCTTTTCTCACCTTCAGTGGTATACTGCTACATCCCAGCACACTCATGGGCCATGCTGGGTACCTGGGACAGTCCTAGTGCTGTATAGACTGTACCAACAAAGGCAGATAATGACAGGACTGTAAAAGTGATTTTGTTTTATCTGAGAGAACTCTGTTTATGAAGGTATCTGAAATCTTCTTTTTCTTCTCCCTCTTCTTTGTGCATTTAGGCAGTGTGTTCAGGTGAGTGCCATCCTTCCCAGACTCTCTTCTGCGGATATCCAACTCCTCATCATCGTCATTATCATCATCACTGAGCTTTGTAATGATAAATTTATAGCTTTATGTGTATGTGTGTATATGTATGTGTGCATAATATCTATCTATCTGTCAGCAAGCGTTGTATTGATAACTTAGGGGAGATGCTCTCCAAGGTAGGAGTTGTCTTTAGCAAACATATACTTGCAGGTGGGTGGTGTGGTGATGAAGCCACATTCTGCAGAAGTGTCATTGGGGTCTTAGAACCAAAGATCGGTACCACAGACCTCAACCACTTGCGTTATAGGAGAATCTCTGTTACCTGTTGGCAGTAGCAGGGCTTCTATCCTCTGCAAAGCTACCACTAGGGAGCATAGTTACACACATTTTAGTGGCCTTAATTCAGTTGAATTTAACTTAATCTGGAGGTGGAACAGGTTTACACTAGAAGCTACACCACAGCAGGGCACAGTTATTGCAGTGTAAGTATGGCACCTGGTATTTCCCCATGTAGACAAGCCCTTCTGCTTGAATATTTAATTAGTAAGTAAAAGCAGAAGCATCAACCCATTGATTTGCAATTTGGCTTAACAGGTGACTTAAATTGTGAACAACCCTGAAAGGAAGGCTGCTCATGGTGTTGGGTGCATATATGGTTCTAAAATGCAACAGCCTTTTCTCCATCTCTTTCCTTTTCTTTTGAGTCCTGTTCCTAGGCCCATTGTTTTGTAGCTTTGAACAAGTCCCTTTACTTTTGTTTGCATCCATTTCCCCACCTGTGTAGTGGGAGAAAAAAAACTGTTTACAGGATTATACAATTTAATTTATTCATGTTTTAAAAGTTCTTGGAGGACTAGGCAGGTCTGCATGATATCAGCATTGGTGCCAACATGTCCTGAGGGCAAGGGACTGATCTGAAAAAATGAGCGATATCGTTGTGGCATTGTGGAGGAGATGAAGGTCCAGTTGTTCTGTCACTCCCCCTGGGAGAATGGAGAGAGAGAGAGAGGAGGAAGTGGGGCCTGCAGGGAAGGGGAAAATGCAGATAAGGCTATTGGTATTCTTAGTCACTTTCATTTGTCTTTCTGCCCATAGGAATCAAGACTCAAGTGATGTCTTAGTGCTGGTGGACTCTGAGGCAGAAGACAAGGAGGAAGAGGAAGAAGAGGCAACCAGTGACTCCACTGTGCATCAGGTGACAGCCCTGGTGAATGGGAATGGCCTACAGATGGGTAATGGCTACCACATCACTGAGGGTAAGCTTCGGCTTTAGAAATAGTGTCACACTGTGAAAGAGGCTGCCCTGCCTGTGTGCTGCGCAGAATCTGTATAGGTGGGAAAAGCCAGAATTTTCCCCACTTCCTTGTTGACCTTTTGGTATGAAAAAGCAGCTGCTGGGACAGAAAGGAACAGTAACAGACTGTTACTTACCTTACTTCACCACCTCTTCCTGCACATGATCAGACACTTGTGGGAGTTAGACGATAGGCCTGTGTAAATAGGGAAGTATTCAATTCGGTTGGATTTGGCCAATTCATAGATGCTAGGGTTGATCAGACGACCCCAGCCAGATGCCTATCCAGCCTTCTCTTAAAGACCCCCAAGGTAGGGGAGAGCACCACCTCCCTTGGAAGCCCACTCCAAATTCTGGCCACCCTTACCGTGAAGAAGTTCTTCCTGATGTCCAGCCTAAATCTCCTCTGTCAGTTTGTGACCATTGTTCCTTGTTACTCCAAGAGGTGCCCTGGTGAACAGAGCATCTCCGGTTCCTTGTTGCCCCCCTCCAACGAATTTGTAAGCGGCCACAAGATCACTTCTCAGCCTTCTCTTGCGGAGGCTGAAGTGATCCAGTTCCCTTAGTCTCTCCTCAGAGGGCTTGGTCTGCAAACCCTTAACCATACGAGTGGCCCTCCTCTGGACCCTCTCAAAGCTATCCACATCCTTCTTAAAGTAAGGTGCCCAAAACTGGATGCAGTACTCCAACTGCGGCCTGACCAATGCCGCATGAAGGGGAAGTATCTCCTCCTTGGATCTATTTGTCGTGCATCTGCTGATGCATGATAAAATGCAGTTAGCTTTGCTGATAATTTTGTCACACTGACGACTCATGTTCAGCTTGGGAGTCCACTATGACTCTGAGATCCCTTTCCATTTCTGTGCTGCTGAGACGGTCATTCCCCAGCCAGTAGGTGTGCTGGATATTTTTATGTCCTAGGTACAGCACTGCACTTGTCCTTGTTGAACTGCATCCTATTGTGTTCTGCCCGCTTTTCCAACCACTGTCAGAGGACAGTGATTTGATTCGATTAGTTACCGCTATATCTGAGGTGTACATCAGGGGCTCGGTGAACAACTGTTCACCAGGGTGCCCTGGGGGAAACTAGAAACAACAGCCACAAACTCCTGGAAGATAGTTTCAGGGTGAACATTTGGAAAAACTTCTTTATAACTAGGATGTCTAGGCTATGGAACAAGCTCCCCACAGAGGTGGTGAAATCATCTACCCTAGAGGTCTTCAAGAGAAGACTGGACAGTTACCTGGCTGGGGTCATCTGACCCTAGATGTCTTTCCTGCTCATGCAGGGGGCTGGACCTGATGATTCTTCGGGGTCCCTTCCAGCCCCTATGATTCTATGATTTGGAGATTTGGATTGCTTTCCTGAATCGATTTGGCTGAATCAACTCGATTCTGAAGAGAGCTGGGGCTGAGCGGTGCTGGGATCTGGCTGACACATGGAGCTATCCCAGCTCCCAGACAGTGCACGGTGCCGTCGAGTCACGCTGCACCCATGCCACAGGGCAGCTGCCACGTGGGTGCAAGGCAGGGGGAAGGAGGAGGGGGCTATCCCCACGGCCCCCCACTGCCCCATGCTGTGCAGGGGGGCTCTGCCACGAGCCCTCAGAGTACCTGACTGCCACTGCTGCAGCCAGTGAGTGTGGCGCTTTTTTTTTTTTAATTGCCAGGAGGCTGGGCCAGCAGGGGATGAGATGGGGCCAGGCAGGGCAGCCATGGGAGCTTCTCCGAAGGGTCCTATGGCTGTGCCTGCCTCTGCCCTGGCAGGGGGAGCTGCAGGGGCTATACCCTACTGCCACTTGCCCAGCTGGCATGAGGGGGAGAGGGCATGATGCAGGCGCGGCTCGCTCCAGGCAGCAGCAGGGCATAGCCCCTGCTCCCAGTGCTACCACTTCTGCATCAGCGCCGGGAGTGGGGGTTCTGCCCTGCTATTGCTTGCCAGCTGGCGCGAAGGGATACAGGATGCGGGCACAGCAGCTCTGGGAGCAGGGGCTATGCCCTGCTGCCGCTTGCTCCCTTCTGCCTGGAACGAGCCGCACCCACATCCCACGCTCCCCACCTCCCTCCCCAAGTAACGCCCCCTGCCCCCTCCACCCCCTCTGGGCAGTTTGTCCCAGCCCCAATCCCTCCCCCATGACCCTTCCCTCCCCCAACCCCAACAGACTTACCAGCTGGAGTCTATGGCTAAATCTCTGAAGTGGCTGAATCTTTTCCGAAGCTTTTCCAAATTAATTTGGATGCTTTGAATCGATTCAGAGTTTTTAATTGGTCTCCCAATTCAATTCAGATTCAGAGATTTGGTCCCGAAATTGGGCCAAATCTCCTCCGAATCAAATCAGCTACCAAAGCTTTGTACAGCCTTATTAGACAACAGTTCTTCCCATTGAAGCAATGTTGGGAGATCTCAGTCAGCCCCAGGATCACATTGCGCTTGGTGCTGTGCATACTCAAGCATGTGCGTGTGCACATGTGCACACACTGGCAGTCCCTGCCCTCAGAAATTTACAGTCAAAATGGAGAGAATGAACAAATGGTGAGAGGAAAGCAGTGTAACATGGCTGCTGCCTGCACATGGCTCTCTTGATTTTTCTTTGCCTCCTAGACAGTAAGACTGGTGAGCTGCAAGAGGCCCCTGCAGTTCACCAGCCTTAGACAAGGGAAGCCCTGGTGCTGACATGCTAGGATCTCTTGATATGTGGTTTCTTTTAGGTGACAGTGATGAGCAGCACAGCAAGATCTCATCAGAGGAAACAGAGCATGAAGAGAGGCCGATTACATAGAGGTGTATTCTCTCTTTACTTCGGAAATGCATGGAAATCTGGGTGGAGGTTAAACTTCAAGCGCATCATTTACCCACAGCTTCACTAAGGCTGTTAAAATCCTGCAGTAGGACTGGTCAGTCACACAGTTCCAGCTGTTAGTTCCTTCCTTCCCTGATTTCCATTTTTCTGTTTGTTAATTCCTTCTCCATACCCTCAACATCTCTGAGCCTGCCACTGACTTGTTTGGGATGCACCTGAAAAATAATGGTAGCTCAGCTCTCCTCAGAGCATAGAGAAGGCAAAGACAATGCCAGGAATATGCTCCTATGGACCAGAAGAAGCAAATTCTGTGGAAAGGATCCCTTCATCACTGTTAGGATGTGCCTTGGTCTGTTTTTTATGGTAGAGTTAAATCAGTGGAAGGGAATGTCAGGATGTTTTAGATACTGCACGGCCAGAGAAGCTGAATTTCCCCAGGTCTGTATGAAATGAATGATCTTTTGCACTGGAAAAGCTAGAGGGAAGTCACTGAGCATTGCACATGGTTTTGATGCAGAGATCTGACCCAGTTCTAAAATGGTGGTTCCCAAGCATTTTGGGACAAAGGACTGGTATTGGCCTTTAACATTTTCTTTTGTGGCCTCAGATCACAGTTTGGGAACTACCATGCTAGATTCACTGTCTAAGCCATTGACTAGTCCCACTGTGAGCTCTGGCTGGAGGAGGAGGAAGGACATGCCAGTCACTACACATTTTTCCCTTTGTGTTTTTTCTGATCAGGAAGGACAGATGTGTTTGTAGTTAAGATTGTAAATATGAGTTCTGTTTCTTCATCTGTCACAGACTTCCAGGTGAAGAAAGTCAGAGAGTGGTCTCTAATTATAGATGCATCAGTCTGGGGGCTCCCACCTTCAGATGAATCTCAGGAGATGCAACAGCCCTGTCCTGCCTTGCCCATATACTGCACCCCCTTCAGCACCCCTACTGCCCTGGGAAGCTATGGGCTCAAGACAGCTTGTGCCTATCTCAGATTCACCCCAGAGTGAAGACTGGTGTGAGATATGCTGGCCTACATTATAGATGGCTCTGCTGGGTCTATAGCTCTGCCTTGCACAATTATTGCACAATTAAAGCATCCTCCATCCTGTGAAAACCAAATGAATGCTGCCTTCACCACAGGTACAAAGAGCCACAGAGAAGCAGATTTATCTCTGTATATTTTTTTCCTTAAACATATTGCTGAGGTTTGTGTGGATATGATTTTTGTTTATAGAATAAATTTATTTTTCAGACAAATAAAACCTCTGTTTGCTGTGCATTCCCAACTCTAGAGAGGGGTAGGGGAGAGACAAATGTGTTGAGAGAGGTGAATACCTACCAGTGACTTGTTCAGGAAATGGTAGTGTTGCCCAGTGTATTTGTGGGACAATACTGGGACCAAGTAACTTCCTCAAACAGAAGTAAAGGGTTAATTTGTCCAGTTTAGTTAAGCCCATGCAAATCTCTACATGGCTGTTTATTTAGGGCATGGCTCATTTTAGCTGCATTTACTTCTTTCACTGATGCAAACCATTTCAAAATGGATGGGTGAGACTGGCCTCTCAGGGGTCTGCATTGGTTTAGCTCTGACACCCAACCCTCCGGCCCCACAGGCTGGCCGAGTGGCACAGGATCATTCCATGAGCCACATCCTGCACAGGTCCTGTGCTTGGTGTTGGTCCTTTCATGTCATCCGGCATGCCAGCCCGACCCCATATGCCCAGATCTGGTTGTGTGCCACTATGGTCTGGTACTTGGGGCCATGTTATCCAGCTCACAAGGTTCTCCATGGGTCCAGAAATTTGGTAGTGGGAGCAGCAATTACTGTTATAACTCCCCTGCCACAACATTTCCAGACCCTTAGGAAGCCTGTGAACCGGATGACTCTGTTCCATGGGCTGAGGGTTGAGCTTCTCTGGTTTTGCTGCAAGTGTCTGTGCAGATAAGGGCCAAACCTGCATGCAGGTACCACAATGAGTTGTCCTCTTCCCCTCTCTTATTTTCCCTGCCCACTGTTTTTGACAGGACATGGCAGCCCTTTTCTCCATGCCACTAACGGGCTCTGTGCTGGTCAGCAGAGAGAGCTAGAGAGTTGTAGTGGGCGTTTCCCTTCCAGACAGCGCTCTGACTCTGCTGACCTGAGGAGTGAGGAATCCTCCAGCAAGAGCTATTATTCTCTGGGGTCTCCTTTAGCACAGTTGAGTTGCAAATTCCTGCATCCTTGCTGTTTCCAGGGCCCACTGGGCTGCAGAGTGAAAGCCCCTTGCTTAGAGGCAGCCCATGCTGTGCCCAGCATGCCAGAGAAAGCAGCTGGCTTGTAGCCTGGATCTCCAACTTTGATTAGTGCTACCTGTTTGGCAATAGTCTTTCAGTTAAATCACATTTTCTTTTTGATCTTTATCAAGGCCAAATCAGTTCCAAATTTTGTTGGACAAAGCCCGGTAGTCAAGTGCCAAAATTTGACCGAGCAGAACCCAATCATCAGGTCTGTGTGGCTCTCCCACCGGGCAAGTATCATCCTTCCCAGTCAGTCCCATTGGTGTGGGGCTTCGGATAGTTCCCAAATCCAGGCAGGCATCCTACATACAAGCCTGGAGGCCTAGGGGCTCGGATGCCCCCAATCTCGCTTGATCTTAGCCAAAAGGCTGAGGTGGTCTTTCAGGTAAATCACATGCACTGGATCTGGCTCCTTCTGATTCAGGCTCTGTTTGCTCTTGCCTGCCAACTGGTTCCTGAGGCAGTTTCCCTCTATCTTATTATCCCATCTCATAAAGCCTAATCCCACGCCTGTTGGCTTCTATTTTGCCAAAGCACCAGGGAAACTGGACGAGCAGCGGCCTCTGTTACTCAACGTTACCAGGACATGCTTGAGGAGTGTTGGTTGTAGCTGTGCCGGTCTAAGGCAGGGGCAGGCAGTTATTTCGGGCAGAGGGCCACTTACCGAGCTTTGGCAAGCCATCGAGGGCTGCATGACAGGCAGGCGGGGGCAGATAAATATTAATTTTCTAAATTTTTTAGGGGCCCCGCGGGCCACATCCGGCCTGCAGGCCGCATTTTGCCCACCCCTGGTCTGAGGGCGTCAGATTTGGGTAAATCCAACATCTTTTATTAGACCAACTCAAATAGTTGGAAAAGTTCTTCTTTGCAAGCTTTCAGGCAGAAACACCCTTGGTCAGGCAGAGGACGCGCTTGGGAGCCCAGGGGTCGGCGGTGAAGATGCAAGTCCTTAGTGCCCACTCTGCCGGCTAAGGCGCTGGTAACGGAGAGCCGCTCTCATCCCAGCGCTGCTCTGTGTTTTCCATTCGCTCATCCATCGCCTGTGTCACCCGATGCCCAGCTGAGGCCGCAGGTCAGGTTCCCCTCGGCAGCGACACAAGTAAAACGTTGCTGCAGCGAGGACGGGCCGAGAAGGCGGCTCCTTCTCGCAGTGTTCAAGTTGCCGCAGGGCCCGAGCAGCCTAGACAGGGTTACGCGGGTGTGCCTAGCCTGGGCGGGGATGCGCACGTGGGGTTCAAAACCAGTATGGTTACCCTACTACCACCCAGCATGGAAGTAGTTTCAGGTCAAAAGGTGGCTTAAAGCTTAGCCCAGATCTGCCCTGAACATGGCTGCTGGCATCTCTCTCAGGCAGAGGTGCGATGACTGACCTGCTTTGCGCCTGGCAGCGGCGCGGGCTCAAGCGGGGACGGACGCGCTCCCGACCGCCCCAGGGGGTGCAGCGCCGCGCACAGCACAGTCCGCCCCGCCCCGCCCCG